ATTAGTTTTTAAAATGTAAGACTATTTTTTCCTCACAGGCAGTACTTTCACTTTAATGATTTCATTCTTAAAGCTGTATCTTTAATGTGAGTTGGCTCAATGAGTACGAAAAAAGTCTACCCTTGATTTCTTATTGTTACAGTTACTGAGAGATAAATACAACTAATTTAGTGTCACATTGTGGAACAGTATCTAAGGATTTTAATATGAGCTCTTGCTTGAAATGCTGTGTTCTTTTATTAATGTTGATTCATTTAAAATATTTGCTTAAATGGGTATCTCAGAAGGATTTATGTATTCTTTTGATTACTGAAAATCTAGTATTATTAAATTTGATCTGCTTGATTTTCAAAGCATTGAGTACTTGTTCAAAACATTGAGGTGAGCCAGCATTTCCCTGGTTCTGATACAAATGTGAGGCACATTGAATTAATTCTTGAAGAATTAATGGAAGTTATTTCTGTCCAGATCATCAGCTGAGGCTAGTCCTGTCCTGTGGTTTGAACATTGGCGTTGAGTGAGCTTTGGTGCGGAGAGGAGACACCAGTGTGCATCGTGCCTTTGAGCAGGCACAAGCACACATCTGCAGGTGAACCAGGAGGTCCAGCTCAGAGCTGGATGTACGTGTTTAATGCACTCCACGTGCCAGTCAGCTGCAGATTCCCCACAAGCATTGGACATCGTGTGAGATGAGGGCCGCTGGGACAGGCAGTGCATCCTAGCGCAGGGTGTTGGGAAACACATGGAGGCTCACCTTGCCAGAGCTGCTGGTAGCCCTGGAGCAGCCAAGGAGTCACAGAACAGTTTTGTGTTTTGACCCATGCTTCCCTGAACAGGGTAACTACAGCTGAGGAAATCTAGGTGCCTAAACAGTGCTGATTTGAGAATGCGGATCTGACTCCCTCGGTCCATTAGTTGCTCATTTGTCAAGTGGGGAGGGATTAGAATATTCCCTCCTTCATGGGCCACTGGGAGATAAGGACATTTAGAACTGAATTACCTGTTGTGTTGCTGAAGATGGGTAAGAGTCAAAAAGGAAGAAAACTGTGGAAAGCCTGTTTATAACCAGTGCGTTTACAGTTGTAATTTTGTCTGAGGCTTGGAGGCCTTGGGATGTGGATTTTTTTTTCCTTCTGATGTTTCTCTTGTGGTTTTCTCATTTTTAAACCAGGTGTTGTTCAACAAGGTTTTTTGCTTGGTTTTGGGAATTTTGTTTTTTTCCTTTTTGATAAGGGGAGAAGAAGGTTGCCTTTGTTTTACTTAGCTTTATTTTAAATAATATTTTATTTTAAGAGGGTTATTTTACAATGTTTACAGTGCACTTCAATTTTTTATTGTGTCATGCCCTTCCAGCCCCTTGGCGGGATGAGAGGTGAGTGTATGTATTATATAATTTATAATTAATTTATGGTGAATCACATATGATGAATACTGCTTATTAAATATTAAAGCCTCGGCTACAGTCATGGCTGTACCATGGCAGTAGCACTCCTATCTGTTCATATGGTACTACTGAGCAAACTCACGGACTTGCGCTGTGATGGCAGTGCTCAGTTATAAGAGAAGTCTTAGCTCCCTGCCTGGACAAACTGTGTTAAGAAGACTTCCTTCTCTTTCCAGAGTAGGTGCCCTGTTACTGCCCTCTCCCTGCCCCATATGCAGCAGCAATCGGAGGTGTAATGAAAGTACCATTTCTGCAAAGCATAGTTGAGAACAGAGAAGGTGCTGCTGGTAGTTCCCCGGCTCCACAGGGACTGCTGTGAGTCCTGGTTCCTTGCCTGGTTCCTTGTCTACCCCTCGCTGACAGAAAGCTGAGCAGCATTGGAAGATAGCCTAACAGGAGGTAATGGCCTGGATCCGGACAAGTGGAAAATCTAGGCTAGATTTTGACAGGCCGTTTTTGTTAGTGAGGACTGGAATTTGGACAGGGGAATAATTTACCTGCAGAGGTCATTCCAGCATCTGGAAGTAATGAACTCCCAAATAAAGGTAGTAAAACAGACGGGGAAAACAATGCAGGGGATTGTGCACTGCCAGTTTAGGGCAATAGTCTTAATGAAGGTATTTTTCCAAATTAGTAGCAATGAGTCTGTGAATCGGAAATAGCAGCTGTGACACAGAACTCTCCCAACTCCTCAGATCCTCTGAAATCAGAGGAATCCACGCAGTCAACTTTATAAGGCAGAAAAGGAAATGTAGCCTTCTACCAGTGTTTTGAGCTTTGCTTCGCCTTCCTGGGAGCTTTGACCTATGCATCTCGCTGAAGATAGTGTACAGCAAGGAACAAATGCTGTCACTGTGTGTGATGCAACAGAACTTAACCCCGAAATCCTCGCTTCGCTGTATTTACTGCCAGCCCAGCAGGCAGATTTTCCTGTGTGTTTAGAGAAAAATCTTGACTCTTGAGTGGCTGTTATAGCAGGTAGATTAGAAGAGGCGTGAGAGGAAATGTGAGAATTTCTCTCGGAGAAGACGGCATGCAGTATTTCATATACAGTGCCATGGAAAACCACATTCGATGCATGAGCCAGAACCAGAAGGCAGAGCGTTCGAGTACTGAAATAAAGATACATCATCTGTGATGAGTGACCATATGAAAGGAATGTAATCCTAAGTGATTCCAATTAGTACCATGCAAAAGGAAAGGAGTGTAATTAATTTTGACTTTATGGTCCTGTATAACCTACTTGTACTACATATAGCTTGAGAGATGAAATATTGCAAAATCCTTTGGGTACAGATAACAGGAAACAATGGTTCTTAGGATAGCTGCACCATGGAAAAAAATACTAAAGCACAGGCGTATTTCTCAGAACTTCTTGTTTATTTTCTGAGGTCAAGCTATAGTAATTGCAATAAAATCTAATTCCAGTGAATATTTGACTCCAGTTTTGTTCTTCTTCTGGAGCTTTTATAGGACAATTTAATGACATGACAGATTATTAGGAGCTTGTTTTAGTATTAATTAAATCACACACAAAGGTAAAATTCTCAGCCCTTAAAATTGCATAAACAAAATTGATTTATAAGATTTGATCTTAATGGGGAGTGATATATTCATTGGTATTGAGCCTTTGATCTAATATCACTTTATACATACAGCTGTGATGAGAAGATTAAAAAAAACCCATAACAATATGTGGAAATTACCAAAGGTAAAACTGTGTTTAATAACATAGGGTTTTGTTTTGTATCAGAGGAATACATACTGAAGGAAACCTATCTTTGGTCTTAGGGATGGCATCAGCATTACGATTGTAATGCATTTGAAAGAAACAGTTTTCACTGAATCTTGCATATCTAGTTACATTTCTTTCTTTTCAAGTAACTCAGATGAGTAATTTGCACATAAAAAATTTAGTGACTGGGTCTCTTTTTGCATGTTATTAGGCAATTGTTGAAGTCCTCACCAATTATAGTAGGTCAGCTTATTCTCATTATTAAATGACAGTGGTCATTAAAATGCCAAACATATTTTTATAGAATTCACTTCATAAAATGTCAGCAAGTCTGTATGTTTTTATTAGTTCCAAATCAGATATTTCAATAGACCATTTGTAAGTATTCCCAAAGCTACGTCCATTTCTGACTTTTTGAGATCACACAAAAATACTACAAATGAATCAGATTTTCAGATTTCGGCATAATAACTCCACATTTATTGTTTAATCCTATTCTAAAATGCTGTTATGATTGACACCTTGCTGTAGAGATAGAAGTCAATTGAATAATATGTAGCAGTCAATTTTATTTGTACCTTAATGTGCTGAAGTATTTTTTTTTTCACATTTCCATTATTTATAAGTCTGTCCCCTTGGAGAATATATAGAAGAATTTGTTTTAAATGAGCTGATAATACCCTCTTTAAAATTTATAAGTATGACAGAATCGTATCCTTTTTCCTTACCGCGCCAGGGTGTGCCAATAAACTGGTTCTGAATTATCTTGCACTTGCTATTCATAGGACAAACATTGGAAAAGAGCATCTCGTTAAGGTTTACTTAGAACAGAATTTCAACTGCTCATCAGAAAAAACTACCAGAACAGGAGTTATCGTAACAACCAGGAAACCTGGCGCCGTTGCCAGGGTTTCTTTTTAAGATACCACAGTACTCTTGCAGCTACTTTTGATACTTGGTGTCATTCTTTCAGCTTCAAAGATAAATGTGGGCCTGATCATGCCATCAGCGCTGAAGAACTTTGTGAATCAATGCGAGTCCTTCACCCAGAGGAAATGGAGAATTGGGATGTAGTTTTGAAAACACCTTGGTACTTTCTTGCTACTGATAGGACATTTTTCTTTCTCTTTTTCCTTTTCAAATCTGTATTGCAGCGTTCAGCAAAATCCAGTAGGACTGGACTGTGTTCTGTGTTTAGCAAGTCATTAGTGCCCAGCATATAGTTCGATTGTTGGATATTGATCATCTCAATAAATGCTAGAAATCCTTGGTTTCACAGAATTTTGCTCACTCCCCACATGCAATTTAGAAAACAAGCTGTCATTTGGAAGCATACCTGTTTTCAGTTTTTACAGTGCCTTTTTATTGCACATAGTACAGCCTTTGCTGCCTCAGTAAATAACAAAAGAAAATACTTTATTAAGATACAAAGTACATGTGACTTGATTGTTTTTCAGATAATTTCTGCTTTCAGAAATTAGAGTGGCTGATGCTCACCTAAGCGTAAAAAATGCAGTTCCCACACACGCGGAGTGCTCATGTACTGTATGTAAATTGATGTATAATGCAACCCACATTAGCTGGGTTGATGATAGCTTCAGTTTCACTGCTGTCAGATTTTTGTAGCTCTTTGAATGAGTTGCCTGGTCTGAATGAATGTTAGCATAATTTATGCAGCTGATAAGTGATTTGAGTGCTTGAGTTATTGATAAAGCACTTTAACATATCATTTTCAGCTTGATGCTATGTGACATCAGAGTAGAAGGTAATGTGGCAGTCCCCAGGCTTGAAATTAAAGTCAATCTGCTCTTTGGATTTCAGAGGCCAGAGGAAACACGGTGCTGCCTGACACAAGCCCACCAGACCAGCACCAACCCAGTCAGTCGCATCCTGCATTCCCTGTTGGGCCTCAGGTCAGTATCTTTCCTTTCAACTAATCGAGACGTGCAATTTGATGAAAAGTAAATAACTGCAATTGATCATCTTTGATCTGTGTAATGTAGAAAATGTGATTCTGTTTGGCTGCATTTAGTGTTACAAAAAGGGAGCATATATGTATTGTGTATGTTTTAAAGGTTATTTGTTTGGAAAGATTAGCTTTCTGTATGTTTTTCTAAAATAAAGCCTAAGCAATTTTGCGTACTTAGGAGGTTAAATTATTTGAATTTCTTATATAAGTTATTTTTTAAATACATGTCATAATTTAATATTAAAAAGCTTGTGCAATTTTAATGCAACGTTACTGGCTCTGACAGTTCTGCCTGTCACACACAGCTCCTGCATTAGTAAAGACATTTCATTATCTTTTATGCCAGGTATTTATTTTCTTTAGAACAAAATGTAGGCATAATAACATTTTAAAAGATTTCCCATATCACTTCACAATATACAAGTTCAGCCATACTCTAAGAAGACACTCAATGTTCTTCCACTTCCCAGGACAGTCTTGATCTATGTAGTTTATGGTAATTGTTACTGTAGTGTTTTCTGCTTTTACCAATCAATATACAACTCTGAAATTTTGGGAAATGTTGGCATTTAGGTACTCGTAGGCTGACTTGGGTTAGGCCTTCTTGCGTTTCTAAATTACCTTCAGTGCATATGTAATGAAGCGTCCAGACTAGATTCAACTTGGATTGCTACCATGCTATATGACGGTAAGGCTTACAGCTTCAGCCTGTCAAGTTTGTCAAAACTTTCTGTGTTGGTGAAAATGTATGCTTTAAGATATTGGAAACAGTGCATGTCTATAATGGAACACAAACGGAGTTATAATACGGGGCTATGCACAGTAAAATGGGCTTGCTCTTTGTGTTTTGTTACAGCCATTACTGACAGCCCAACAGTTGGCCTCAGCAGTAGCAGGGGTGATGCCAGGAGGCACTCCAGCCCTGAATCAGCCGATCCTTATTCCTTTCAACATGGCTGGGCAGCTGGGGGGCCAACAAGGACTCGTCCTAACTCTACCTACAGCGAATCTCACTAACATCCAAGGACTGGTAGCAGCAGCTGCAGCAGGAGGCATCATGACTTTGCCATTGCAAAATCTACAAGGTGAGTCATGTTTAGCATTTTTCTAATAGGTTCTTTTTCATGTTTGTTTCACTTTATCTCTCTCTTTTAAACTGAGTGATCTCTTTTTCCAATGAAATGTTGCTCTTGATGCGTATTGAAAGTTAATACCTGGATTGTTTTTGAATACTTGAGAGATACTTAAGGGATATTTGCATTTTTATAAAAACAGATTGGAGGTTGTGTCTTAGAATGTGTGAGTCAGTAATGTAAAGTACTTGAACAATTAGGCTTTTCTGTCTTCAGTGATCAATGTTCCCTACTCACAGTTCACTTTACAAATGGCAGCATGAAGACAAATATTCTGTTTCACTACTACTGATTAGGGTAGGTAAACAAATAGGGGCAACTAAAAACACAGTATTGCATGAAAATCACTTTAAAAAAACCCTTCTATTATAAAATCAGAGTTTTCTCAACTGCCATCGGTGTCCCAGATAAGCGTTCTTCTTCTTGCTATGGGGTGTCTGCTTTATCAATAAGGTTCTGCCTTGCTCATCCAAGCTGTTAAGGGAGTTATATGACTCCAAAGTCACAAGCAAAAAGTTCATCTCTGTATGTATCCTTCCTGTTGCCTGAGCTGTACCATGTTTGCAACAGTTGTTCCCTAAGATATCTGCTGCATTCTCCCTGTGGTCTAAAATCAGACTGAAAAGCAGTTCTATAAAATCCCTGTTCTTCCTTAGTATTCTCTGCTGTTCAATCAATGTGTCTAACACTGATATCTAAACAGGTAAGATATAAAATACAGATGTATTTATTTACTACTCCTAATTATGTTGATTGCTTCTCAGAAAGCAGTTCCTGCTAAACAGAACTGAGCAAAGTATAGCAAGATAAGTATTAGCCATTATCTTACAATAGAATTGTGCAGCTTTAATGGAAGAGGATGGTAAGGAAGTGATTGCCCAGTGTGGAAGTGATAAAGGTGTGAGCAGAAAGTATCAAAATAATGCTTTATCTCTCTCAAATTTTATTTTTTTTTTTATTTATTCCTTGCTGATGTAGATCGTAAGAAAAGTTTTGTTCAAATGGAATGGTAATTTTTTTAAATGAATGCTCCGTACTACGCCCTGAGTACTTTTTAGTTATTAAACTCTGATGGCTGCTGATTACCAGATGAATTGTTTGAAGCACCAAATCCTACAGGTTGTGAAACAGAGAAAAGGAAGAGACAGCTCATGTGTTGAACAAACTCCCTTACAAACCGCATGCATAGTACTCTCACCTGTTGGAGCAGCTACTTGCCTTTACCTTGTGCATGTTTTAAAGTTTAATGTCAACAGACCTCTCTTATCATAGTTGTAAATGGTTTTCACTTTAATGTTTAAAATAATGTCTCTCTCATACCATTAAGCTGCACCGAAGAACCTGTCATTCATAAATCATAGATGAAAAGGACACACTAATGCACAAATTTTGCTTGTTTAAAATTTGAGAGTGCATGTAAAGTAGGGAACTGGAGATTAAAAAAATAATGCAGGAACAGGAGCGGGTAAAAGCAGATATAACAAAGTGAAGGGGAAGTGGCTTTTTAGCGTAGGTGGATGATGAAATCTTAATGAAGAAACAGACATTATAAAAATGTATCCTTCCACTCTGGAGTGCTCCAGGTTGTAGTTGCTGGGTATGTAGTATTATAAATAAACATAAACTCATGCAGTTCTTACGTCATTTATTCACCCTGTGTTGCAGAGCTGGAGGGTAAGGATTAAGCTAGGCAACCTTTGCTCTGTAGTTTAGCCATGGGTATCTAATAGCTAGCTAAAAGGTGTAACTCTGCTGCCAAATAAATTTTGCAAGCAATGACCTTACCAGATGAAAAGGTTTCCTCTATAATCTTTACTGGTGGATAGAAACATGGGATCAAATAGGGACTTGCTGGAGCATCAGGTACAGTTCCCTGTCTATGCATGCAGTCGCACCTTCTATAAAGTAGTTGAAAGGAACAGAACCCACGAGTTCACTTAGTTGCATTGCTGTTTGTTGTCTTCTTTACCTTTCCCTCATGATCCTCTAAGCAAGTGCCACTGCCCTTATTATTTGGAAGTGAAACTGATACACAAAGAAATGAAGTAACTTGGTCAAGACAGCTCTTTAAGATTCCTGAATCACAGTTGCAAGCTTCTGTTGCTTCCTGTATAGCCCACTACCCAATGCACGTGTGAATGAAGGTAGGAGTCAGGTAAGACTACTGTGTTTCTGAACAACATCTTTGGCTGTGTGGCATCATCAGTTCCATTGAACCTGATTGACTTCTGGTCCCTGTATTTTGTGGTTATTTGAAAGATAATAATAGAATGTGTCTTCTGTTTTGTATCCAGCACTTTTATAGGTATATGCATAGAAGCCAATGCTTAAACATAGTTTTGGTAATTCCTGCCCTTTGGGCAAAATCAGACCATATTCATCAGTTTCTATGTTGCAAACCTCGCTATGGCATGGTCACCCTAGATGACTGGGGGATGTGTTTTCATGCTGTTTTCTAACGTGTCTTGTTACCCCTGTTGTTACGTCTGCTGTCCCTGAATTTCCAGCGCTGTCAGGCATAGATGTCCACAGCTCCTATGAGTGGGGTCTTCTCCTGTCTCCTTTTTCTTCTCTAATTGGTAAACTTCTAAACCTCTTCATCACAAACTACCCCAGCTAGGTAATTGAAAAGACACCCTGAAGACTTTCTGAATAATGTATGAATTCAGAAAAGTTCTGATCTAACTGACTAAATGTTGATCAAGGGAGTAATCCCACTACATTTTGTGTGATCCACATACATGTTTAACTGATTTTCTTCTCAGGGACTTTCAGGTCTGGATCAGGGGGATAAGTAAGAGAGAGCTCAAGGTGCCTGGATAAAACAGTGAAAACCCTTGCTTGTGGAAAGAGAAAAGAGCATTCAGTGACAGGAATCATAAAGCAGATGAGTATTTAAAATGAGAAAACAAGAGTTTCTTTAAAAATTCAAGACATTGGTAAAATCGAGCGATTAATGATATGGAAATTACTCACACAGTAAAACTTATTCAGTGAAATTACCTATTCTTCAGTTGTCAGTTACTTATAAATAAGATTTTTTTTTTCCAAATGTATTTGTGTTAAATTGTTCAGTTGCTATATGGTCCTGATCCACCACTAAGTCAATAGGAATTTTGTTGCTGTAAGAGAAAAGAGGTTTAGACTAAGTCTCTTTCAAAACTACTTTTCTTGATACATACTTGATTATTTTCTGTTCATTACAGTATGTCATTTGCTATACACACTGCTATACCGTATCTATTCCCTGAGCAAGTAAGTCAAATGTGTGTGAACAGAAGGAAGGAAGGTGAATATGTAAATTCTTGCTGCGAAACTTACAAAAATATGTTTTCCCTGGCTCCTATTAAGGAAATTTCATATGCACAAGGAATATGCAAAGAATACAATTTACTGAGATGCCAGAGGGCTGGTGCAGAATAGAGCCATCTGCTTTAGAGTAAAAAGAAATCCCTGAACATAACACAGATTCACCTATGGAACTTTGGCTTTCCACCAATAGTTCTTTGAAGAAAACAATAAAATCAACAACCATAGTTTTTTACTGTAATCCACTGAAAGCACTGAAGATAAGAGTTTAAAAACCATCCAAGAAAGCTGTTGTCACGAGAAATTTACACACCTGTTTTCCCCTCACCATTTCTTAGAATTACAGCTGGAACACAGTTCTGCTTTCCTAACCAGCAAAAGTTTTGAAAGTGTCACAATTGCAATGGGGAGGTTGTGAGAAGGAAAAAAGTGAGGCAGGTACTCTACATGACAGCGTGTTGCAGATCTGTTGCTTTTAGTCCATTGCTTCTTGGCCTGTCCTTATTCACTTAATGCAGAAGACACTCTGCCAGCTTTCCTCTTATCATCCAAACTGGTGTTCATAAATATTCAGCTTTCCCTTTTCAGGAAACTTTTCTCTGGGCTGAACAGTTTCAGTTTCTGCATCTCTGTTGCCAGGTCAGATTTCTCTAGGTTTTGGGGGGAGTGTGCTTTATTTAATTTTAGTTACCCTTCTCAAGAGTCTCTCCAAGGGACTAGTAGTTGCTTAATCTCAGAGTATTTAGCAATGCCTGGGAGCTGGTATTCATGGACAGATGTTCTCTCCTTAAGCCCATCTGGTTTTTATGTCTCAATGTAATATTTCTGTATATCTGAATGGAAAGACACCTTTTTTAGAGGCTGAGTTTGTTCTGTCTTGTTTTCTTAATATATATATTTTAGCCCCCCTGTTGATTTCATGTTGAAATCACTGAGAAATGGGAAAGTATTCCAGGGCTGACGAGTTGCTAAAGGCTGTCCTCTCGTTTTGTTCACTTTTCCATGACAGCCAAAGCAGTTTTAGCTAAAAATGTAATATATTTTAGCTATCCTTTTAGTATAGTATACGTGTTCAAAATGAGAAAAAACTATCACGGTGTCTCAATGCGAGACATCTCACTGCTGGCCACTCGTGCGCCATGGATAACAATTTGGTAGTTTCTCTGCAAAGGGTTGGCCCAAATACGTTACATCACATAGCAATGGCAGAATGGTGTTTTAGATATCTGCACTGATATGGAGCTTGAATGACGCTCAAACCTTGAAAAAAATCAACAAGTTGGAGATTCTAGCCTCATGGCACTGAAACTTTATGTATTTTATTTCCACTACACATTGTACTGTTCCTAAAGTGGATGTCAATAATTTATTTCCAAGCCAGAGTTTCCTAATCTTGAGTTCTGAAAGAAATGAGAACAAACTATCTCCCCAAATCATTAGTGAAAGGCTTCAGTGCTGAAAGGAAGCCTTGCATGGCTGAAAATGTGAAATCATTAAATTACATTATTTAAACGGCGGCAGGTCATATTTTAGCTGCAATACAATGGAAGGGGAAATGTATTAAACATTTTGCGAGCTAGGAGACAGCCATTAAAATGCACTGATATGGGTAACAATAGACATAGCTGAGGGTAAAAAAAATT